CCGAGTTTGTCGGCAGGGCCAGGGTTTTCCTGGCCTGACAACGCGAAAAGCGTGGGATCCGTTACACAGCCGTTACCAACAACAACAACAACAACAACAACAACAACAACAACAACATCATCAACAACAACAACGACGAAAGCAGAAGAAGCAGCAGCAGCAGCAGCAGCAGCAGCAGCAGCAGCAGCAGCAGCAACAGCAACAGCAACAACAACAACACCAACGCCACTTTCTTCTTTGTCGTCATCATCGTCATCATTATCGCGATGCTCACCATTCCCATCATAAGCTTCATTAGCATCATCCTTATCATCGTCATCATCATCATCATCATGATCAATATCAACATCACAATCATGGCCATCATCATCCCTATCATGACCATCATTTGTATCATCACCACCACCATCATGATCATCACAGTAATTGTCATCGGTATGTGTGTAGCTTACTTCTATGATGTCGCATAGGCTGACAATGATGGTGATGATGAGGATGATGAAGTTTATGATGACTTGTTCTGTCGTTGACACCTGTGCTGCCATGATGATTGTAGGGACAGTAGTGGCAATCCGAACTTAAACACCAAGGTGTAAGTTAGTGCGTGCAAGCATGCTAGATGGCATTATCCACACAAAGTCGTGAACCAATTCAAAGCACTCCGAACCCGTGTTGCCTAAGATACTCTAGAAGCCCAACCGTCATGACCCGATTACAACCCTGCAACCTCTTCAAATCCTGCCAAGGGCCGCAAGAGGCGCTCCAAGCCCCCACCAAAACTGGCACTTGAAGTCTCCTGCAACGCCGAAACCCTGGAAAGACTTCCGCAAACTCCCAACTCCCAAATCCCTAGACACACTGAAGCACCGCTGTAAGCCGTAATTACCCCCTCCACACCACGACCCCCCGAATAGAGGGGTCGGAATCATGACCCATGGGAGTGTTTGGGCCGATATATACTCCAAACCCCTAAACCCGAAACCACTGAACCCTCAGCCTTAAATCCCAAACCCTACCTAAACCGTAAACCCTAAACCCCTAAACCCCTAAACCCCTAAACCCTAACCCCCTAAACCCCAAACCCCCTAAACCCCTAAAGCCCTAAACCCCTAAAGCCCTAAACCCTAACTAAACCACTAAACTCTAAACCCCTAAAGCCCTAAAGCCCTAAACCCTAAACCCCTAAAGCCCTAAACCCAAAACCCTTAACCCACCTTAAACCCCTAAACCCAAAGCCCCAAAACCCTAAACCCCTAACCCCAAACCCCTAAAGCCCTAAACCCTAAACCCCTAAACCTCTAACCCCCGAAACCCCTAAACCCCTAAAGCCCGAAACCCAGGAGCCCTAAACCCTAAGCCCCAAAAATGGTCCCAAGTTCAGCTTTCTGAGGCCCTCAAGGCCCTCCGCAGCAACCTGAAAGCCCAAAGCCTGACGGCCGAAGTTGTGCCTGGAACCCAGGTCTCTGGGGCTTCAGGGCTTAGGATTTTGTAGGATTTAGGGTTTAGGGCTTAGATTTGTTTAGGACTTAGGGTTTAGGGTTTTAGGGTTTTTTAGGCTTAAGGGTTTAGGGTTTTAGGGTTTAGGGTTCTAGGGTTTAGGCTTCTAGGGCTTCTGGTTTAGGAGCCTTTTAGGGCTTTAGAGCTCTAGGGCTTTTAGGGCTTAGTGTCCTAGGGTGTTCCAGGAGCTCCTGGGGTTCAGGGATTAGGCCGGGGCAGCTTTCAAGTGGCTTTGGGTTTAGGGTTTAGGGTTTAGGGTTTAGGATGAGGGTTTAGGTTTTAGGGTTTAGGGTTTGCGGCTT